CGGGGCTAAGCCAAGCCGCTGGGCTCTGGCATCAGGAAAACTACACCAAAGCTCGACTGAAGGATTTTGTGCTTCGATGCTCCATCTGGGCTGTTTGAGGAGACTGGGAAGAGGATGGAGGCAGCATGATGCTGCCCCACTTCTTTCTCCTGTGGGGCTGCTGACCCTCTTAGTGCATGCACTGGCACCGGGGGACGAGGAGGGATGAGCCCTACCCTTTTTGAAGTATTAGAATCCTTTCAGATGGCATTAGCGCCTCGGCCAGTAACAGCTCTATAATTGAACCTCCTGCTTGCGGGGGGCCTGCTTTTCAGTGAGATGTTTAAATCTCATTTGTATAATGCCTGGTTGCAATTCCAGCTGAAAGATTGCCCTCCGCCTCCAGTGCCCCTGAGCTGTGCCAAACACGCGCACGTGCTCCAACCCTCTGCGGGCAGAGGAGCAGCCGAGTGCAGCCGGGCAGCAACGTGCCATGCGGCATCCGAATTTCTAGAGTTTTCGCTTGTTTATTGGAGCTTTTGCTAGACTGATGTACTTTTTTATTTCCCTCTCCCCTTCTCTTTTTCAACGCCTGAGTCCCAGGAAAGGCAGGACGGAGGCTCAGCGGTGAGTGCTCTGTCAGGGATTATGTAGGGATGAGATTTTCCGGGGCAAGCTGGCTGTGAGGGGGCACATTTGGCTACTGCCGCACCCCCGTGGGGTCATCATTGCACCTACACAGGCAAATCCCCTTTGCTTGGCCAAAGATTGGGGCTCCTCGGCAAACCCCTGCCAGGCTGGCTTGGGTTTGCTGCCTCCTGAAAGGATGTGCGTGGTGCTGGTCCGATTCACCTTGGTCCTATGGCAACACTCAGCAGCCCCCAAAGGAAAATGGCTTTTATTTTAGCAAAGGCTTAAGTTCTCTATTTTAAAACAGTGCCTTGTAAGAAGAAAGTGAATCGGAGTCCGCTTTTGGCTCGCACCACCCGCTCCTTTTCTTCCTGGATGGCTGGAGGCTGGCCCTGGGGACTGGTGCCACTTGCCCATCCTCAGTCCCCGCTGGCTCTGCTTGGGCCAGGCTTTTCACCCAAAATGCCCTTTCTGTGCTGGCGACGCACTGGCCTCTTGCGCTGGCGAGGGGTGCCGGGGGCTGCCTGCGGGTGCAGGCAGGATGGGGCAGAGCGTCCTGTGGGACGCTGCGGGCCCGCAGCAGCCGCCGGCTGCGTTCCTCCTTCCTCCTTCCCGCTCCAGTGATCCCCGCTGTACTGTAATCACACAATTATTGTGCCATTAAAATGTCATATTCGCAGAAATCCACATAAACAAGGCATTAGCAGTTGCCAGAAAATTGTAGTTTTACTGCTAATGACCCGCTCTCCCCCCCGCAGCACCGCTCCTTTTTTTTTTTTAAATATTATTTTTTCACTTTTTATTTGGTTTCCGAGCCGTGATTTAAGAGGCAGATGACGAATTAAATCTTTGCACCGAGAGGCTTTTGAACTTTGATGTACAGTTGTGGTGAATAGCTGCCTCTGTGCTTGCTCTGGGGGTTTGCCCTTCGCCAGCGAGGCGGTGGGCAGTTTTGCAGGGGTGCCCTTAGCGGGGGGGTTTGGGAGGGGTGCTTTTGGTGGGCTGGTGAAGAAGGCTTTTGGTGAGCCCCGCTCTTGGCTGGGCGCTGGCGTGAGATGGGAGCTCCTCTCCTCAATGAGTTTTGTCCGTGTCTCCCTGCCTGGGGGTCCCTCTTGTTGACCACCCTGGGACCCCCCCCAGTGTGGTGTTGGAAGGGGGTGGCACTTGTTTGCTGAGAGCAGCCAGCTACCCCTTGGATATTTTTTTCCTTTCTTTCCTGCAGACTCACTGAGTCTCTCAAATTCTGTTAAGCATTGACTGTGTTTCCTATAATTAATACCAGCCATTAAACTGCAATGTTGAAAGAGAAATTACCTAATTCCAAGGAAAAAAATGAAAATTTATTACAAGTACATGAGAGAAAATGAATATGAAACTTGGAGAGAGGAGCCCTGTAGAAGATAAATAGAAAGGCAAGAGGAGTATTGACTTGATCCTTTTCTAGTGCAGGGTAATTTGGCTTCTAAAGTGAGTTAGATCATAATAAATTAAATTTAGATTTCTGCACATCAGTTATTTAACTCCCAAGACAGAATTCTGGTGTGAGGAAGAGGTGATAATACATGGCGGAAATATTATAATGAAGACCTTACTCAGTAACCCATAACTGATGTGCTGTCCCTGGGTGAGCGAAGGGGATTTCTCCTTACACTTTAACTTGCTTTCCCTGTCCCTGATCAGGTGCTGAGAAACAGGTGAGTCCCTGCGTGCAGGTTGGGGAGGTCTCCTGCCTCCCACCGCTTGTGTAGCTGGAGCCTTTGCATACGAGGCTGCTGCCTCGCTTTCCTTCACTGCTTTGTGCAGGTATTTTTTTGCAGAGGTCGGTGTGTGCGTGTGTCCGAGCATCCTGCTCTGATTTTGGTTACCCTTGCAGGGAAGCTTGGGGTGGAAAGCTGAAGAACACCCAGAAGATTTGGACAGGAGTTGTAGGTCGAAAGCAAATGACCAAACCCGGGTATCTACTTCTGGCTGAGAAAGTTAACCAAATCCCTGGGCTTGTTTTGTGGCCAGATAGTGGTTAATATAACTCTTTAATCTCTGTTTGGCACCTGTTTGCTCCTGATCTCAGACGTGTATTTAGCTACCTGATATTTAGGAACCATCCTACTGATAGCTTTCCTTGACCCAAAAAGGAGAGTGAAACCTGGGTGAATCAAGGTGGGCTGGTGTCTTTCAGGTGGAGATTTCATGGGGGGGGTTAGTTATTCACTGCAATGTGAACCAAGAATGCAGTGCTTGGATGTGAGGTATATCCAGGGCAGGATGAGAAGCAAATGCCGTGGGATAAGGCACTGGTATTTGTCCAAGTATCCATTGGGACCCCCCGGTAACAGGGTTGTAGTGGGGTTAGACGGATGCTGGGAAAATGCTGTCCCAGACCTCGAAGCACGTGCCAGGACCCTCCCGCATGCCCACCCCCTGCTTCTGGTGGCCTGGCCAGAGCCTCACTGCCCTTGCAGCACGTGTAGAAGCTCCAGTTTTCCCGGAGCCATGGCTGCCCGCGGGAATCTGCCAGTCCTCCCGCTTGAGCCTTCCAATGCTTGCCCGGCTGCACTCTTCTAGTTGATCCAAGGCTATTGGGTTGCTGACATTAAAAAATATATCTATACACATCCAACAGCCTTAAGTGCTACGTGGCCGCTTTTAGAAGCCATTTCTCTTCTGATTAAGTTTGATAAAACAAACTTTTACTTTTCTTCACAGCATTAAAATTTAGGAACTGCAACTTGGCGGTGGTTGTTTTAATGGCACCAGGCCTCCCGCGATCATCATGAAATCCTATAAACGTCAAGCTGTCAGTGGCTCTGTGATGCAATCGGCTCGCTTTTCCCTGATCTTTTACTGCAGTGGTAAATCACATTTTGCAAGACGCCTTAGAAAAAACATAAACAATATTTATCACCCTGTGTACATCGGTCCTCCCGAAAGCCCGCAGGCAGGTTACGTACATCCTCCTCGTAAACCTTCTGCAGTGACCTTACTGGTTTCATAACTTTCTCCTAGCCCTGAATAACTTTCTCCCGGTCCTGGATAACTTTCTCCCAGCAGAGCTGGTGGCTCAGGGGTTTCTTCTGCTCTTCCCTGCACTGAGGTAGGTGCTGGAGGAGGTCCTGAGAAGGCCCTGGGGTCACACAGGAGGAGGATGCATACGACCCTGTATCTGGAAACCCCTGCATCTCTGGGCCCCGTCAGCTTTTTGGGGGTGCTCGTGTGGCTGTGACCCAGGGCGGTGTGGGGCATTGTGTGGCTGGAGGCACCCGGCTTGGTCCTGCTGCAGTTCAATTGCAGGAGCCAGTGCTCCCTCCTCCCCTTCCTATGACTAGAGAAAATGTGCTGCCAGATGCGAGTAAAATCAATTACAGGATAAAAATCGCCTGTTTCAAAAGCTTCATTTTGCGCTATTAGCAGGCAAAATCGGCTTTGAGATGGTGTGAACTGAGGAGGGGAAAAAAAAAAGAAGAAGAAAAGATCAATTATGGGATAAGATCACAATTTTCTTTAGGGCTGAGATGTCTGTAAATGTTTGCATCTCTCCGTGTTACATGTAGGCTGAGATCAAAGAGGTCGTGCTGCTGTAACAATGAGATCTTATCGGGCGCTGCATTGTGCTCGCTGGCTCAGGCACTGTGCCACCGAGGAATGCCTAAACCCCCCTCCGAATAGCGTCATGCTGCTGAGGGATGCTTAACCCCCCTGATGGCACCAAGCCACCAAGGGATGCTTAAACCCCCTGATGGCTGTTGGAGCTGTCGGGTAACCCTCCTTTTGGAGTGGGGGGAATGCACGGGCACATGGTTGCCCGCTCGTCTCCCTGCCGTAGGGCTGAAGTCCTCGGTGGGAGGCTTGTTGCGGCAAAGACGGACTGAAATCGGGCTGGGAGGGCTACGGCTCCCTTCTTCCAGGGTCCCGTTGCTGGAGCTGGCCCTGGGGCCAGGGTACGGCTGTGGGAACGTGGGATTGTGCTTGAGGAAACTGCTCCTGTCTGATGGCTCTTTCCCGCCTGAAGGGTTACAGGGATGAGAGGGCATGTGGTGTAAAATACCTTTGTTTTTTGGCTGGAGAGAAATTAAAAGCCTAACAAGACCTTTGCGCTTTTATATTTCTTGAGACTGTGCTGTTTGAGAGAGGGATCCACCAGAGACCTGAATTTGGTTTCAAATTAGTCATTTTAAATTCAAATTGGCAGGCTCTCTTTGACATGCTGTTTCAAGACCTAGGGAAAAAAACAAAACCCGAAGACCTAACGAGGCTTCGTGTTAGCCTGCTCCTGTGATGCTTGCCCATGCTGTGAGGCCGGCTGACCTCCGGCAGGGCTCGGGAGGACCTCCGGAGCGGGGTCGGACGTCCTCTGGTCTCTCCTCTCTCTAACGGGGCTGACTTTGTGCGTGCAGGGCTCGGACGTGGACTGGGACGACCTTTGGGATCAGTTTGAAGAGCGGAGGTACCTGAGCGCCCGGAGGTGGAAGGGCGGAGAGGACCCGTACCGGCTCCATGCCTTTAACCAGCGGGAGAGCGAGAGGATCCCCAGTGACCGTGCCGTCCGTGACACCCGCCATCACAGGTTCTGCCTCCCCCCCGGTTTCTCCTGATCTTCCTCACGAAACTTCGTTATATGGGTGGATAGTCCCATTCCTCTTCAGGGCCGTGGTTTTGGGATGCTAGGTGGGTCTGGGCCCTTCACCCACACCAAGTGGGTGCGCTTGGGATCGTTTCTGCCTGGGTTGTATTTTTAGGATTGAATCTTTCACTTTGCTTGATTTCTTGGCATGTCTGGAAGTCCTAAACTTATTAATTAAAACCTGTATAAATTATTCCAGGGCCATAGGGAAAGAAAGGAAAAGCCTTTTTTTTTTTTCTCCTTCAGAAAAGTAATGGGTGCGCAAGAGCACATCTCCATGATGTGCGAAGCCTTTGCTGGTGCTGGGAACACTTGCTCTTCAGAGGATGCAATGAGATGGTGCAAGGGGGATAAAATAACTGCTGAGCGCTTATTTTGCTCCGCAGAGAGGCGTTAATGCGGGGAATAAGGGACTATTGGTGAACGAGGGGGAGAGGAAGGTAAGAACTCGTTGGGTTCTCCAGCACCGTCGGGGTCAAAAATACCCTTTGGCACCCAAGGGACCTCTTGGGAGAGGCAGGGAGGGTTGCAGCGAGGGTTGCCTTGTGGGACCCGTGCTCCCTTGCTGCTGTCAGCGTGAGAAGGGCAGGGTGGGTGTTTTGGTGCACCCTCACTTGCTGTGGGTGCAGTTGTGGTCTCCCTTCCCTTGCCTTTCCAAACTCATCAGGGAAGAGCTGCCCTTCACAGCTGCAGGTTGTTGATGGTCGGTGGGGTTAATTGTTAGTCTGCTGGATGGAGCAATGCCGGAGTGTCCCACTGGTGTAGGAAATACTCCCAAGGTTCTCTTGATGCAGTTTTTCTCTTTGTCCTCTGAGGGCACAGCGTATACCCAGCCCCCGACGGTGGTCCCCAGCCCACAGCCATTGCAAACCCTTCCCAAGGAGCTGTGCCTGGCATTACGTCCCAGCCTGCCAGCTGCAGCCATCATCTCCTGCCTTCTCCTGGGAACCCTTTGGGGGGAAGTCCTGCTCCAGTGGGAGCTCTCTGCTGGACCCAGCCATGGCACCTTGCTGCCCAGGCTGCACCTTGCTCCCAGGTCAGAATGACGCAACTCCCAGCATCTGACCCGACTCTGAATTTTCCCCATTCCAGTCCAAATGCAGCACTTGGGCTGAAATGCTGAAACAGCACCAGTTCTCCAGCCCTATAGCAAGCAATGTGCTTATTTATTTATTTATTCTTTTAGCTCCGTTTTGTAGTAAAGACCAGATGCTCCTTTCTCCGGAGAGGCGTTGTCAGCCCTGATGGACGCCTCTTATAGCTGTGCAGAGAGCGAGTGTGCTATTCCTGGAGAGAATTAATGCCAGGGATATTAACCATCTGCCCCCTTAAAAAGGAAGATCAACTCGGCTGCCCCCTCGCCGTACCCCCGCTGCGTGGTGGCAGCCACCTTGTTCCCGGGCGGGCGGATGCGGCGCTGAGTGCTCCCGTGAAAGAAAAGTTCTCATTAAGGAGGAAGCGAGGGCACAGCACATGGGAGGGGCTGGGGCTAATTGCATTTGCTTCCAATTTCCTTAACCCGGTAATTGGATTCTGATTTATTGAATATGTCTGAACAATGCTGCGGATGATGCATCATTAGCCGAGCATTAGTGCGGCCACGGAGGAAATGGGGCTGCCGGGAGATCTGGGGGAGGCGGGCGCTGATGGGGGGGATGGAGGAGGGAGAAGAGTCCAGGCATGGTGGTTGACAGGGAGAGGAAGGTGCAGAGTTTGCAAAGCTCTCTCTCTGGAAAGAAATCCTTGCTCATGGTGTAGGTGTCCGGGGAGCTGCCGCAGGCGATGCTCTGGCACTACCATGCAACCTAGGAGAGGGTCCCGAATTGCCCAGGGGAGCTGGGTGGGAAAGCATGGATCAGCATGACCTGTTCTTGGAGCAGGGAGAAATTGCTGGTGGCTGTGCAAGAAGCATGTGTAAAGAGAGTCCAGCATGGAGTTGGCTAGGAGAGGTCCCTCCTGCGAAGCGGAGAGCAGAGTACCACAGACCAGGCTAGAGTGAGAGATGGGAAACCCTCAGGGCTCACGCTGCGTGACCCGCTGTGCTTAGAGACTTGGTTTCAACGGCAAACCTGGCTTAGGCTGCTTTGTGTGAGCCAGACTGGAAGCGATCAGGCTTTTTCGTATGGGAGTGAAGCCAAAGAGTTGGACCTCGATTCTGCTCCAGCTGACCTTGGGGGATGCTACGTCCTAGCACGGGCCCCGCACCAAAGGGCACTGCCATGCCAAGGGGCTCCTGCTCAGCTCACACAAGGGGCTAGGAGGCTCTGAAAAGGCTCTTGCCCACCTCTTCAGCTCATCCCCATGAGCAAGCAGGTGGTTCTTCAGCCTCTCAGACAGGTGTTGCCCAAAGCAGCTTGCTCTGTTCTGTGACCAGGTTTTCAGCGTCTTTGCTCTCCATCTTTTATCCCCCTCTGTATAATGCATGACGGCACCAAGACACGCAGACCTGCAGACCATGGTAATGCCCTGATACCAGCACCTCATAGTCCTGATCCTAGTGCCCAGGACGTGGGAGTGCTGCTCCTTACAGCCTCTCTGTGGGGTGTTTTTCACCAGGATGGTTGCAGATTTCCTGGAGTTTTCTTTGCTAATCCAGCCAAGCACCTGGACTTGCCAACGATAGCTGAATATACAAAATCTGGCAAGGGATGAGCAGCAAGCTCCTTGCCAGAAGGTCATGGAGAGGGCAAATACTTTCAGCAGGGTGGGATGTGGCACTGACAGCCGGTTGCTTAGTAATGTTTGCTGGATTGATTTTGTTTTTAAATTGCAGCCAGTGGAATAATTTCAGATGGAGAGGAATCACAGCGCTCCAAAGAATCGGAGCTGGAGAAACCATGGTGGCTCCCCGGCCAGTGTGGGGCTGCAAGCCTGTGCTTGGTTTGTGGGTGAATTCAGCTGGGGAAATGCCACAGCTTCCATAGGCCACATCATGTCCCTTGGCCTGGGAGATCTCACAGCTCCTGCTGTCCTGCCCGCATTTCCCTGCTGTTAACTGTGTTCCTGACTGCATGTTGACTAAGCCCTCGGACCCCGTGAAGGGATGTCTTTCTCCAGGAGAAGACCGTGTACGGTCCTGTGGTGGTGTGTCCCATCCCCACCATAAGTCAAGGTTGAAAAATCCCTGTGACCACAGCAGCAAGCTGGACCCAGATCTAGGTGGCGTGTCCACGTCATGCGGAGCCACTCATGCTGCTGGAGTGGGTGGCTAGTCCCCCTCCGCTGCGGTGGCCACACGCCTTTGGGATGACCTCATCTCCACATCCCACCTTCTGCAACTCCCACCGGCAAACCGCAGGACCAAAACAGCAGCGAGTGAGTCAGTGCCAGGCGCACGCGTGCGGGGAGAGGAGCTGAGGTTTCCAGTATTGCTCAGCGGCTTGGAAAGCCGACAGGGAGGATGCGTTGCCCGCAGCCAGAAGATTTTGTCGTGATGGCTCCTGGGCTTTTTCCATCTGTAGCAGACAGCTCCCGAGGAGGCCGGTATTCGCCACACAGTTGCTCCATATGCTGCTTAGGCTGACCTCCGCCTCCCAAACGCTCCGTTAGGTTTAATAGATGTGCAGATGCTGTTGTGGCTGCCAGGCTAGGCTGGGACCGCGAGTTGCAGCCAGCATCAACCTGGGCTGGGGTTTGTGCTCGCTGGCGGCGGTGAAGCAGAGAGGTGAAATTGGGGACAAGGAGACTAGATGAGAGGATAGTGGCTGGAGGAGAGGTGAGAGCCTCCAGCAGACTTCTCTAGCTATTGCAAATCACGTCAGCCAGCCTCAGGCATCCCCCGCTGCCTGTTTTCCTCTATTCGTCTGGCTTTTTTCCTCTGCAGCACCGATACGAGTTTAGTAGTGCTGTCTCGAGCTGGTAGAGCAAGGAGGCTGGGGATGGAGCCCTCTCAAGTCCTGGCATAAGGCAATAATCCTCTGAATTTTTGAAACTCCCCCCGCTCCATGAGTCCCAAGTGCTTTACAAGAGGCCCTACCTACCCAGCTAAGCTTGAATTTTACAGCTGCTTGATGGGGTGCGTTTCTGTGTGTATATGCGTGTCTGAGAGAGAGAAAGCAGCTGCTAAAATCAAGTTGTGATTGAAATGCGAGGCTGGCAGGGATACTGGCAGATAGGAAGACCAGGCGTTGCGTTGTCTGCTGAAGATGAGAGCATCCTGGCAGCCTGGCGGCCTGGTCACGCCAATTTGTGCTCCCTAGAAAAGTTCTGCCCTTGTAGTCTGTCCTGTTCCCTTTACGGGGAACAACACACACCGTAAAACTTCTTGCAGGTCTCCTCACTCAAACAGCAGTGCGGTGCCAGCTGGAGACTGTCCGCTGGGTGGGAGAGCTGCCCAGGGCTGGTGGCTCTGCTCGTAGGGACTGTTGACGGAGGGATGGGAAGAGGTGACGCCTGTGACGTTCCTCAGGGGCAGAGAGCTGTTGGTTTGAGTTCTTAAGGTCCAGAAAAGTCAGGATTTCAGCCCTGAAGTGCCACGTGCTGCAGCGTTATTTTGACCCATTAATTGCAGCGTGCATCCCAAGGGTGCAGAGGCTGTACGTTCAGCATTGCATTGGAGCAGCTCTAGTGGGGGTAGTTGAAAATACCTGACTGTTCTGTGCATGGGGATGACCAGGAGGAACATGCTGTCCCGAGGGCGGTCCTACCTCTTCCAGGTGAGGTTCCTGTGTACGTGGGCACATGGGGCTGAGCGTGCACCTCTGCCTCTGCACGCCTTCCAGGTGTCCCCGTGTCCCATGTGTACACATTTGGTGCACGGCACGTGGAAGCATGTGTAGACATCCACGTGCAGATTGCGTGAGGGCAGCTGTATCTCAGGCAGGTTTTGAAGTGGCTCTGTTTTTGGCTGAGTTGATGATTGCATCCCAGGAGTGACAAGCAGTCAAGTGCACTGAGAATATTGTAATATCTTCTTGGAAGCAAAGAGTCGAAGAGGAGAAAAG